GAGGACAACAGAGCTGCTTTATGGAAGAAGAACCTCAGCTTAGCCTGTTAGCCTTTGTGCTAGTGTGGACTCTATGTTGCCTTATATGTATTAGCTCAGTGTGACAAACAAGCTAAACTGAGGTCCTCCATCCATATTTTCAGTTACAGCTGAGTCATTTTTGTGTTCCCCTCTCTGTCATGTGGATGGAGGACCTCAGTGACGAGAGGAGAGTGTGTAGGTTGTAGAAAAAGAGTTTAATTCTGATCTGAGAGATGAGTTAGTCAGGCCAAGACTAAAGTGGATTACTGCCATTGAAACAGCTCCGTCAACATTTAACAGACACCTGAACACAGTTTTATAAACCTTTAGATGTTTGCAAACTTAAATAACCCCAAGTTAAATAATGCTTCCAGTGCAGCCCGGGGTACTTCCTGCAGGAAGTGAAATCTCTACAAGAATAAACATGTAATGTAAAATAGACTACGATGTAAATGTTAATAAAATTGTACTTGGAGTCAAAAAAAATGTAAAAATAAAAAACTAGAATTTGATTCTGAAGCTGAAGATGTTTTGCTTCCTAGATGGGAAGTGAAATGTTTTCAGCTTCAGATTCAAAGTCTTATTTTGTTTTTTAACTTTTTTGGACTGATMATGAGCTGGATGACTGAGAATCTTCACCAGTACTTAGGTTTGAGTGAATTTAGTCCCCATTCAGCAACAATTCATGATATGTTCAACATGGCTCAGTGCCCAGAATGCATCTCACTAAAGGTGGCACGAGTGCTCAAAATAATCAAATAAGACATTGTCACTTGGGCCCTGAATGAGTTTTCTATTGCTTATTTGAAAACAGAACTTTACCTTGTTCTCAATGAGAATGTGTGATCCCTGTGTTGTGCAGCTGCTTCCACTTGTTGCTGACAAAGTGTCATGAGTGGTTGGAAGACAAAGAAGAGGAGGAGAGGAAAAAAGTTAAACTCTGACAGAGATGTGGTCTGGAGGCAGAACCTCACCTATAACCGTGAAAAAAAAAACCAGAAAAAAAAATAAAGAGAAAATTTAAACTTTTATGTGTTTTTAGTTTGAGATTTTAAGCTTCAATAGAAATATAGAGTTTAATTTGAAAGGAGGGACTCCCAGAACAGCCGCTGGCCTTCTTAAAAG